CGGGAGCGTTCGTCGCCACTCGCCCCTGTCCGTAACCTCCAAGAAGACTCGTCCCCCTATCGATGCTTTTTATGTGCGAAAATACGACAAACCAATCAGAACGCGCTTAATGGTTGCGGTGCTTTGATAAAAATAATCCCGAGTACTTAAATCGTTTATGGCTTTATGTCATTGTTTAAAAAATCATGGTAACGTAGGTAACAGGATTTTGCTGCCTATTATGAAGTTTTTAATAAGAATCATGCGATTGACGGTGAGAGATTCAAATACACGCACGTGCGTTTGTTGACATAAGGACTTTCATAGGTCCAACTGAGTTTATTTCTGACGATCTTGCGGGGCTAGTTATGGCGGTTGTACGTGCGCTTCCAACAATTTTAGGAAATGTAATTATAAATCGTTACTAGTTTCAAAACAATAATATTATATTTGTATGTAACTAATCAACTTTAATCTTTAACACGCCCTACTACGATGGACTGTCCATCTACATATAGAAACAGGAACTACAGAACAGGTATTAGCTGGAGTTTCATTCAGGAAGATTGATCCTTTTTCAATCAACAGAGGTTTTATGAATGCTGGTTAATGTATAACAGACATTAATGACATTATTGAAAGGTTGGAATTATCTGAAGGAACCCAAAGAGAACTGGATGATGCAAATAAATTTTTTGTCAGTGTTGAAATAAGCGAAATGACGAAAACAGTGTGCCCTCAAGAACAATTAATCTGGATAGCATACATAAAGGTAACAAGCAACGCCGAACGAAATAAAATGATGGAGTGTAGAACTGTCAGATTTGTGGAATGACATGCGTATGTGGCTGAGAACCGATGGAGGGCGCCGGGAAGACAGAACGTTGTTTTGAAAGCTGTCTATGTTGAAAAACGAAGATCATTTGTTAGACAGTGTGAAAGGGCAAAGCGAAATTATAATAAGCAACTCTTAACGAACTAGAAGAGTTATGTAAATCCGATATGGGACAGTTTTGGAGGAAGATAGGCAAACTAGGAGTAGGTTGTGAAAGAGGCAAGGAGATTACTATGGAAGCAACTATAGAGTATGGTACGATATGTACTGACACAGACGTGATGATGGATAAGTGGAGAAACTAGTATTCTGAACTTTCAAACTGTATCGTATGTTGTGATACTCCTATGCCTGTTATCGGGGATGCTGAAGACGCTCAGATGTGACATTATATAACATTAGAAGAAATGAGATATGCGATAGCCAAGGCAAAGAAAGGTAAAGCATGTGGAATAGATAATATCCCAGCGGAAGCCCTTAATGATGTATGTGTGGGATATTTTCATAAGCTATTCAATACGACCGTAGATAGACTTGACTGACAAGTTGAATAACCAAGGCGGAAAGTTAATCATTAGTGGAGATTTCAACATTCACGTTGACAAAACAAATTACAACATCACTAAACAACTGAACTTCCTGCTGAAATCCAAAAATCTGGTCCAGCACATTATCCACCCAACTCACAAGAATGGACACACTTTGGACTAATTGACAAGGGCCAGTGAAATAAATGTTTATGATGTCATCTATGACCATTCTGTTCATTCCGACCATGTTGGTTTACTTTGCTCCACAAATCTTCACAATCCCCAACCATCAACCATTCGAATCAAGTGCCGAAAATGGAAGGATATCGATATTGATTCCTTCTCAGCCGATGTTAAGTCATCACTGGATTCAGTGAAGTCACATTCATTGCCGGCTGCAGTTAATACCTACAACCAAGCTCTCAGTGACGTACTGAATACACATGCTCCACAAAAAAAAGGCAATAGGCAGTAACCATGCACAAACAAAGTGCCTGGTACAATGGCGACATTAGATCAGCCAAGCAAAGGCGACGGAAACTGGAGAGGAAAATGAGAAAACACAGCAGACCATTCATTGTCAGATGCATGCTGAACAACACAACAAAGTGAACAAACTAATTGAAGATGCAAAGAGAAATTACTTCACATCCAAATTGAATCAGGCAAAAAATCAAATCCAGTTGCTCCTCAAGAAGAAACAACGAGCACTTCCTTCTCATTCATCAACATCAGAAACATCTTGAGTACATCTCGCAACGAATGTGCGCCCAATGCAGCTCGTGAGGAGACAGTCACTTCTGTACATACTCAACTGACATGCTTTGCACCAACCACTGATAAAGAGATCAGTATATTAATTGCAAAAAAGTCCAACTAAAGCGTGTTCTCTCGATCCTTGTCCAACATGGCTTATGAAAAACAGCCCACAGGCCGTCATACCAACTATTACATCCATAGTGGACCAGTCACTAAGTCAATGTCAGGTATCATCGTCACTGAAGGAAGCACTTTTAACACCTCTTTTAAAGAAGCCAACACTGGAACCAAATGTCTTTAAGAACTATCGTCCAGTTTCAAATCTGCCATTCATTTCCAAACTGATAGAGCCAACTGAAACAACCCCTCCTGGACAACAATCTTGGTGATATCATGCAGTCAGCATACAAATAGGTCACAGCACAGAAACAGCTTTGCTTCGTGTGCAGAATGACTTTCTGCATGCTGTTGATTCTAAGGGAGCGGCAAATCTTGTCCTCTTGGATCTATCAGCGGCTTTTGACACAATAGACTATTCCATTCTCTTTGAAACTCTACAGTTATGTCTTGGAGTCACAGGCGATGCGTTAACACGGTTTCAATCGAACCTCACAGGACGCAAGCAATCAGTTATCATCGATGGGGTAAGGTCTGAGAGCAGAGAATGAAGGTTTGGAGTGCCACAAGGCTCAGTCCTAAGCCAAATCCTGTTCACTGTATATACCATACCTGTTGGTGATATAGCCCGAGCCCACAATCTCAGTTATCATCTCTATGCTGATGACACTCAGCTATATCTCGGGTTTAAGCCACTAACTGCATCTTCTGTACATAATACCCTGCAGACAATAACACATTGCATGGCTGAGATCAAATGTTGGATGAACAGAAAATTTCTGAAATTGAACGATGACAAAACTGAGATTCTCATCGTCAGCTCCAAACAGACAAAATCAAAGTTCAAGGTCCCTGGAGTTCACATTGGAGACACGTTTGTTAAACCAGAAAGCCATGCTCGAAATCTAGGTGTCATCTTTGACTCAGCATTAAGCATGGAAAATCACGTCAGTAACATCTGCAAGTATGCTTATTACCACCTAAGGAACATCAGACAGATTAGCAGGTACATGGACACACCATCACTAAAATACCTAACCGATGCATTTGCGACATCACGTCTGGACTACTGCAACAGTCTACTCTATGGAATACAGCAGCAGTACATGGACAAGTTACAGCGTGTTCAAAACACAGTTGCCAGGCTCATAACACGCACACATATGCATGTGCACATAACACCAGTCCTGAAGGACCTTCACTGGCTCCCTGTAAAAGACAGAGTTGTATTCAAACTTCTTGTGTTTGTTTACAAGTTAATTAATGGGCTTGCTCCATTCTATCTCCAGGAACTAGTCAACCTTCACAAGCCTGGAAGGTCACTCAGATCATCTAGTCAGCAAAACTTAGATGTTCCATTTGTCCGAACCACAACATACGGGGACAGAACATTTAGCAGAGCGTGTGCTGTACACTGGAATGGATTACCTGAAAATATCAGAAAATCGGAAAATATCAATAGTTACCGATCTTGTCTCAAAACCATCCTCTTCAAACGAGCATTCGACAAAGCGCACATGAGCAGGACTCTGGATATGTAACGCTATACAACTGTCTAATTTGATTTGATTTTGATTTGATACCCCTTGTCATACAGAGTGAGCGAGTAAGTGTGTTTAGTTTTACGCCGCTTTTAGCAATATTCCAGCAATATCCTGGCTAGGGACACCAGAAATATGCTTCACGCGTTGTGTCGATGTGGGGAATCGAACCCGGGTCTTCAGCGTGACGAGCGAACGCATCAACCATTAGGCTACCCCACCGCCCTTGTCATACACAGGATTAACTATCACTAATTCTTCCTACAAACTGTATTGCAGCATCTTGAAAAATAGACTTTCTAACTATGTGGAAGAGAATGATATTTTAGGAAACAGGCAATTGCAAAATGGTTTTAGAAGAGGAAGGTCTACAGCAGAGCATGTGGCAGCTATTACATCTATAGTGGAAACTCGGAAGTCTATGATCAAGTCAGTTGTTGTGATCTATAGCCCGTACTGTCTATAGTGATTTCAATTTAAGATAGCGTACTAGTTTTAATTCTATAACTTATAGTATTTTTACTGTCCTTCGATGACAAGTTTTTACGTTCTAAATTTATTGATTTTAGTATTGATATAAATTAAATTGTTCTCGTCACGATGTGGCTGAAATATTGCCGATGTGACGTTAAATATTAACTCACTCACTCACTCACTCACTATGAATAAGTCGACGTGTGCAGTTTATATTGATTTTCGCAAGGCCTACGATTGTAGTGATAGGAGACTGTACAAAACTTGTTTGTACAAAACTTGTTTGAAGCATGTCGGCGTAAGAGGCAAGATGACTACGATTACCCCCCTTTATAGACGAGTTGAGTGCTGTGTCCGACTTAATGGACGATATACATACAGAGTGGTTTGATGTGAAATGTGGACTTAAACAGGGATGTTTACTCTCGCCAATTCTTTTTAACCTGCATATTAATGATCTTTTAACAACCATCAATCATTTATCTGTGGGCATTAAAATCACGAGGAAACGATTGGAATTTTAGCTTATGCAGACGATATAGTGATTTTAGCTGAATCATAGAGTGACCTGAATCTTCTTTTAGACTGTTCGAGTACCTGGTGCAAGAACAACTCTATGACTATCAATTCGGACAAGTCAAAGATTGTACATTTTAGGACTAGTTCTTCAACTCGCAGTGATGCTGTTTTCAAATATGGTGAAGATTCCCTGGAGGTAGTGGAGTTCTACAATCATCTCGGAATTCTTTTAACGGAACACCTTGATTACACTCGTGTGGCAAGAGCTTCAGTCAACTCCGCCAGTAGAGCCTTGAATCTTCTCCTTTCCAAATACAAGCTATTAGGCGGGATGGAGTACAACACCATTACCAAGTTATATGATGCCATGGTGTGGCCATCTGTGGATGATAGTGCCAGTATTTGGGGGACTCAAAATATGTCGTGCATTGAAGCTCTGCATAACAAAGCAATGAGATTATCCTGGGCCTACGGAAATATACCCTCAACAATGGTATGCACGGTGACATGGGTTGGATCCCCCCAGTCGTGCGACAGTGCGGAAGTGTGACACGTCTGTACATGAGACTGCGTAACATGGATCCTTAACGTATGACTCATCGAGTTTTTATCTTGAACTATCACTGGGCATCAAGTCGGAAGAGAAACCAGGTTTTTAGAATCCACAACAAGTTTGATTTTATCGGAACCAGTCATTTTACAGATATTAAATATATGTATGACAAGAAACATGTTGTATCAACGGTGAAAAGAGAAAATGATTGAAGTCTTCGACACAACATGGAGACAGCAAATCAACCAACCTACAGGAAGAAATGGAAATGAAACTGAGAACCAATTGTACATTTAAGGATTCCTATCAACCAGAGCCACCTGTTAACAGCCCTCTGAGTAGAACACAGAGAAGAGTTATAGCCAAGTTTAGATGTGGAGTAGCACCTCTCGGTATAGAGACAGGCCGATACAACGACACGCCTGTAGAAGAAAGAACATGCCCATTCCCCAACGATTTTATTGAAGATGTGAAACACGGTTTATTACACTGTCCCATTTACACCGATGCCAGAGATGACCTCTACGATCATTGTTTTACTAATGATATGCACAAGTGGGTTTTATTCTTTCCAGACCAGAAGTAATTAGCAACTGTCAAGGCCTGCACATCTATTTTGTCTATTCGTAAAGATAGGTTGTTTCACAACAATGTATAGATCTTTTTGCCATTGTATATTATACCCTTGTATACTGTATATATGTTAATTTCCTCATAGGTCATTTAAAAATTTGTATGGCGTATTTTACCAGCATTTACATGTATATATGATTTGTGAATTTTGTATCTTATTTGCTACTGTGATATATTTAATAGCTCCAGTGATTTATTTTATATTTTTAAGTCTCTCATAACTTGTTACATTTTATCTGTTTTATGTATGTTTTAGAATGTTAATGTCTATTGTATCAAGGTAAGACATTAATAATAATCTGTCTGTCTGTCTGTCTGTCTGCCAGTCTTGAAATTCTTTTGTCGTCTATAGTGGCTTAAAGCAATGCATGTGAAGTACCGTTGATGTGGCTTTTAAAGCCTACAGTCATAGGCTTCAGCTCGGGGTGATACACAATTTCTATGATATTTTTAACAATGTTACTTATCATTTGATAATTGTTATTTTAAAAGAAATATACTCTTTAGAAAAAGTTTGAATAATATGTTTTGTAAAAAATCAATGGTATTTTAAATTTGGTCTATCATATAAGTAACTGAGATTGTTAGTGACTGCATCCTAGGTATGCAAAAGTATTTTAGAATTATGGTCCCTCTGAGAGGGTACATAAGAACACGTCTTTCAAAGTATATTTAATTGTAGTATATATTTTCGTTTAAATTAATGGTTATATCTGTCCAAATTGCCAAAACCTAATTACTGCCGATCTGACTTAAAATAGTAACTCACTCACTCATATAGGTAAGTCAAGTCGAGTAACCGGCCTTCAACTTGATCCGTTTCAATTTCTCCCGTCGCTGTGACCTAGATATCCCAGGAGGTTTCTTTTAAAGACCCCATACGATGGGTCGGCGTGACATTAGGTTCAGTTCAGAAACCAGGCCGCACAGCACGATGTACATTGTTAAGTCAAACAGGCTTCATGCTATTGTCATAGTGGCCGATAGGGATAAGCCTTGTCTGAATGAACATGTATACTTCCAAAGGCTGATTACCAAGTAGCCATACATATGTCAAGAAATGCATAATTGTTATTATTTGTAAAATGCTTATCCAAGTGTTAGCCCAATTGTATTATACATGGAGCGTCAGTCATCCAGAGCGAACAACGCACCTATGTCGCTGTGCATTACTGTTTTTAGTATCTATGACTTAATCCATAAACCTGGATATATACACTGTGGTCCAGATACGGAAACAGAAATAGGTCTTTAACCTTTGTGCTATATCTCAGGCGAGGTCCTACGGGGCACTTACACTACCACTACTATCATGATGTTCTGAACTGACATAGTGGGCTTCCTGTTGTGTATATCACTGTATAAAGCAGACTTGCATAACCGCTATCCTCTCGAATTATTCAGCAAACGTACAACGCGTTTGTTGCACGACTTCGACAGGGGCGTAGCCGGGGGAATTTAAATTGTAAGCACATCAATACTGGAAAGGATTATTGTGGTGAAGTTTAAGCACATTGCCAACAAAACGTTTTAAGGATTATTGCAAATATTTGGACTTAACAGCTAATGATAAAATCAGTGATATGTTCTGGAACCATCTTTTAATAGTCAATTTGTAAAAAGACCGCCCCCGTGGTGTAGTGGTTAGAGTCTCCGCCCGGAGAGCGGAAGGTCGCGTGTTCGATTCCCGACCGCGTCATACCAAAAGACGTTAAAATATGGTACTTGTTGATTCCTGCCTGGCGCTCGGCATTAATGGGTACAAGCGAGAACCAAAACCTGATGTTTACAAAATCAACAAACACTTCCAAGCAAGGACAGATGATGAAAGATTTATCATCTCTCTATACCATATACTATATAACATACTTTAAAAATCTTTCAGCAGGTCAACGAAAACAGAAGAGAAGTCTATTTTATGTAATGAGTGTAGCGGGAGAATTTTCTAAAAAATCCATTTCTTCACCGATTTTGTTCAAATTTGAAATATAAGTTACTCATAACATATAAAAACAATATACGGTTGCAAAAATCTAGATTTTTATTTTTAAAAATGATTGTCCAAACAGTGATTCGAACCCCTGTGGTAGTGATGACGAATAGAAATTCGACCATTTTCCTTCCGGGTACGTAGGGGAGGTAATTGTGGTTAAGGCCAGCCAGAAGACTGGTGGTACCGGTGTTATATCTTTCAGTGCAAAAATATATCTTTGTTAATACAACCATAAATATTCTACATATGAATTAAAATGGATAGCGTTATATAACATTTTAGGACAATACAAACAAGTTTAATGTGAGCATATTATCTCAGAACACCTTCGGATAGGTTGGACTGATACCCGGTCGTATATAATCCTCCTGAAATCGAGCTTGATTGAATAGGGGAACCTCCATTCCAACCTTTCGGGTTCTTTCCCGGTGCATGTAACTAGATTACTCCGGGAGCCGATGTTACGTGTGAACCCGAGCCGTTGGTGTCGGTGTTCGCTTATTGCTGCGTTTTAAGTCGACGTATAGCCCCCGTTAACTCATACAAGGGTCTCAAATGTTTTGTGCTCTTATCTCGGATTGTCATTCCGACGTGTACAACTACCCACAGTAGCAGCTGTGGAAACCGCGGTGGGTTTGACGGCTGACTTTGTGTGCTGGCGATTAGGTGCCTGACTCTTTGGGTTTGGGTTCGAATCCCGGATGGGACTCAACCCAACACAAGTACTAGAATCTGTACTTTACTGAGAACGTTTTATCCCAAATATAGCATGTGTTACATTTGACCACTTTCTAAATGGCATTGTGTATTTTATACTCGTCATTGCCGATTTGCAGAACAACGTCATTGCCATGGCCCGCAAGGAGCCCTGATGTAAAACCCAGTCGGACATTTTTGGAATATCTTGGACGCCAAGTTCGAGCTTGAGATTCCTCTTTTCACAATCTTCAGGAATCGTCACTTCATAAAGAATGGCAATGATTTTCACATGCTTAGAATTCGACGTTGGTTCTCGGGGCGAGGAGGAGACGTTCAGATGTTATCCGGGTGAGAGGAGGTTGCAGCAGGTACTGATGTGGTCGCCAGCGGTGGCTCATAGAAGTACAACAATAATTATTGGAAACTGTGTGACAATCATATTGGTGGCATAGTAATGGTGACCATGCTTTCCGGCATCGTTGATACTGACGTATTTTGTTCATTCCTATCAGGGGGCGTTGGAGTAGACTAATGGTTAAAGCATCCGCTCGTCACGCTGTAGACTCAGGTTCGATTCTCCACATGAGTACAATGTGTGTAGCCCATTTCTGGTGTCCCCCACCGTGATATTGCTGGAATATTGCTAAAAGCGGCGTAAACCTGACTGACTGACTGACTGACTGACTCATTCCTCTCAGATTGTAAGTACTTGAAATGGTTGTGATGAAATCGCCCTCTAGTTCCAGAGAAACGAGCGGCCCGCTGATTCCTTAACTACGGGCCATTATCAGTTCTGTTGTCAAATGACGTCACAGCAGGTGACGTCACGCTCCATAATGACGTCATAATCTTGTTTCATGATCTAACAGTGTTGGGTCAACAGCCCGTTGCGAGTAAGTTGTTTGAACTTAAAATTAAATTTATGATACTATTTTGTCGTTTTTAACACAAATTCCACCATTTTAGCTGGATAGGGCAGTTAATTGACCTATGGCTTCTGCAAATGACAATGTCCTGCAAAGCAGCGTTACCCCAAAAGTGTAGGGATACATTTAAAGGTTTTGGTGAATCGGTTTTCAAATTGCGACCGTATATGCTGATTATACGGTCGGAAATTTATAGCATTGACCAATCAGAACTCGTGTTTCATACTAAGTTGAATTAGAATATGTAATTAACTCTTCAAACTCACTTACACAGTACTCTCCCTAGTGTACTACGACGCGTGGCGCGTGGTCCTGTGCTCAAAGCTCAGGTCACAAAACGGTGAAGTTAAGCAGCGTCGAGCTCGGAGAGTCCTTGGATAGGTGACCGTGTTTGGCAGCTTGACTCTTGAGAGTTTCTAGGACTTGAGTCCTGCCCCACAACGAAGCACATGTGACACATGTGGTCTCACCTTAGGCAAGTGAGTTTGTTCAAAATTGTCTCTGTTCACCCAGCAGGAAAATGGGTACCCGGTGGAAAAAAGTCATATGACTATAACCTTCTAGCGCCTAACAGGCAGCTTGGGTTATCCGGTGTAATAATGTGCTGTGCTTTGATTGTTAGCGCTATGAGCATACCTAGTGTGGAGTTTGGCGCTATATAAATGGACACATTATTATTATTATTATTTCTGTGATGTCACTTGCATTGTGACGTCATAACTCAGTTATGACGTCATAGTGACGACGTCATAGTCCTAACTGCCAGTTCACCTGATGAAGGGACCTGGAATGGTCTCGAAACGTCGTGAGAGAAATTAAAAAGAAGTTTAATCCATAAAAATATCTTGGAATACATAGCCTGCTTTTATATTGTGTTGTCCTCTATAGTTAAAGTACTTTAGTGTTAATTACTAGTTTTAGATTGAAATGTGTGATATACTAGTTGTTTTACTGTCCTTTGCTGACAGGTTTTTATAATTTACCTTTATTCATTGTAAAATTATAACTTGTTTCTGGTCACGATATGGCTGAAATATTGCCGATGTGACTTAAAATCTTAACTCACTCACTCACTCACTCATAGACTTTTGTACAACTAACCTACTCTCATTAGCCGCTTACAAACACAGACCCACTGAATGCCTCATCTACTCACAAAGGTCCATGGTGCTGAGACACATTGCTTGACTCACCTACTGTCACCCAGTCCCTTGATGCTGGGATTAGGACATCCAAATAGCAGCGTGAAAGCATAGGAGGCCGACGCGGCCAGTGTTACTATCATGGTCAGTTTCACACAACCCCTGTTGGTCAGCTTGAGTTTGCTGGTAAGAATACCACCGAGTAAAGTGCCTACAGTCGCCCAGAGAAATTCTTCTATACCTACAACATGGGCTTACACATACTGAAACAGTCGAAATGAATGACAAACAATTTTGGTTGTACATCGTGAAACACACTCAATAAGATTCGATCCCGTTCGAAGACGTCACTGTCGACCGACGTCCGGTCCTCTCATGTCTATATACCAAGAACAACTTAATATCATACTTGTATCCATCTCACAAACTATTACGAACAGTCAAAGTGTGTCAATACACCATATTTTGATAAGGACATCGAATGTGTCACAAGTGGCAAATCTCGGGTTCCTTTTGGCTGCTATTTAGTGTTAGTAAACCAGAATGGCCTTGAACCGGCAACATTTTCTTACCCACTATAAAGTTGGCTTTCGAAGCCTGTGTCCCAAACTGATTCTCGATGTATTTGGGGGCGAAGGCCACGTTTCCCCCGACGAAGAAGAGCACGCTGCAGTTTCCCAGCAACAAACAAGCTACCACCGGGTTCCGCATCACTCGCACCACCGATTTGGGTAAATCTACAAGTACAGAAGATGATTCTCTTGGTTGTGTACCCTACTGTGACCGTGATCGACGGTACTGTGGTACTCAGTGATAACGGATAGGAGTTTCTCGTACCTGACAGTTCTTCCTTAAGGGTGTGGCATTTGGCGTTTACGGGTCGTTTGGTGAGTTTCTTAATACGCTTTGGAAAGCAGCCTAAGGGAACAGCAAAGAGGAAGGCTGCACATCCAAAGACCAGGTACCCAATCCACCATGCCCCGATCCATTGTGGGTGAAGAGGATCCATCCGTGTGTCTTCAAAGCAAACAGTATAATAAGGATTAGACGGATAAGCCTAATAACGACTGCTGATATCCGATTTAGAATTGGTCTTTAGCATCCCATGCTTGTCTTAAATTGTGACTAACAGGGACTGCTGATATCCGATTTAGAATTGGTCTTTAGCATCCCATGCTTGTCTTAAATTGTGACTAACGGGATCGGTGGTCATGTTCGTTGACTGCGTTGACACATTCCATTGTATCCCACTTGTGTAGATCGATACTTATTATGTTAAAGGTGGGTTGTCAAGTGGTGTATTTTCCATACTCGATTATGTATGACACAGCTGGAGTGCTGCGTTATTCAACAAACAAACGGTCAACAATTGTTGATAAATACATGCTTGTGCAGGACTATAAGACATACTCACCACTAAGATCAACAGGTACGGTGCTTAAAACTCCACCTAGGCCAAGTGCAATAGCTGGGCCGAAGAACGACACTGTCATTATGATTCCTGCAAGATCATAGACAACACAAAACATAAATGTAAATGTCTGAAGTTTCAAACATCATTGGTTTGCTAAAGTGTTTCTCTTCACGTTTTCAGTTTCAAAATTAGAAATCACGCCACCTTGTCACTGGATTGTCTGTCTAAACGTTCTGTCACTGGGCCGCCTGGTCAGGACTCGACCAGTTTCCATGCCGACCTTGTATGAGATGTGCGTTGGTGCTATTATATAAATTGTGTAAGTAGTGCATGTTAACGAAAGAGTAGGGACCAGAGGAACCTGTTTCAGAAGATAGGCGAGACTGATTATTCTGTTGTCGTTCTAGATTAACAATGAAATCGAGGTTCTAAATGGAAAGCGAGTAAGATTTTCCTTCATTCTGGAAAATTATCATTGTATTTTCAGGTCGCTTTACACATGCCTGACACTCTTTTAAAAAATGTTATATTCATTTATCATCATCGAAAACATACCTGTCAGTAAACTTGACTGTTGTTTGTCACGGGAATTATTGTCCAGGTACGGTATACCCAGGGAAAACCGTGGGGATTTTACCCACTCCCAGTAACACCATAAGCACGGCAAGCACATTGTACACCCAACGTCCGTTGTCAGTCACTTGGTCCTTCGTGGCTGGACATCTCTCATGTTCCTGTACGGAATCCTGACACAGCCTGACTCTTTGTTCAGAAGAATAGTTGGAGGCAAGATCATCTAAAGAAGGCAGCGATACAGGATTCATGAAGTGTAAGAGGCCCGAAATTAGACTAGAAATGCCATACAAAGCCACTCCGCAGGACAGGATCCTAGGTATAAAGCGCTTCCCCCCAAAATGGCTGAAGAAGAAAATAGCTGAAAGATAACCGATTTCGCTGCAGCTTAGGAGGAGGCCACTTTTTGTACTGCTGAGGCCAAACTGTTTCTCTAGAGCTGTGATCTGAGACACTGTGTAGTACTTGACTGACTCCAGCACCAGTGACGACATACTGAACACGGCAGTGAAGCAGAGGATGTTGTGGAAACACCGTCGTTGACGTCCTCCAGACTGAGCCATGGCGTTGACACTCACGCCGCTGGATGCCATCTTGAATATCTCCTGCCTGATTGTGACAGATGAAAGGTCATGTACATGTCTTATTGAAAAACAGACAAATCCACGAAACAATTTCTTTACATATGGAGTGAGTGAGTGAGTTAGGATTTTAAGTCACATCGGCAGTATTTCGGCCATATCGTGACTATATCAAGTTATATGTTAAGAATACTTATAGGTAAAGTATAAAAACCTGTCAACGAAGGACAGTAAAACAACTAGACTATCACAGATATAAATTTTAAAACTATTAATCAAAGTTAAAACATTGTAACCATAAATGACAAGACAATATAAAATCAGGTTATTGATCGCCAATAACTGAAGGCAGATCACCAAACTAGGGATCATGAGGAGTTACAGTGCCTTTGCTGCCTGTATGGAACCTAGCTGGATTTACACCATCCCTTCAGCTGCTGGCGGTTGTAGGGAAATTTAGCCATAATTGAAAATAACAAATATTCTACGTTTAAAAATTCTGGTAATTTCCTTCGATGGTTTTGGGACTTAATTTGGGGCAATAAGTTTACAGTACTTTAACCCCCTTTGAGGATACAGCCAGTCACTAATAATCAGAGTTACCAATTTAAGCTTTCAATCATAAAATAATTATCCATTTACAGATATTTCAACAAATATATTTCTTTTAAAAATGCAATAACTAAATGAGAACTGATATTATTAAACGATCCTTCATAGTATTTACATACGGACTTACCGGTTGTGGGAAAATAACATACAGACATCACTGAGTGACTGTTTTCTTGCCGGATTGCCAGTTTTGTTACTCAGATATTGGAGATGGTTTGTTGACTCGACTCAGCACTCGACTATGAGGTACATAATCGCTTAGGGGCCATGCGACACAGTGGCTGGCTACAACCACAAGGTCTGGACATATTGGTTCTCAACCAGCCTGGCTTTACATTACACCACTTGTGTAGCATGCTCTATAGACATGGGGCAATCGGGATTTGCATACATTACTACCTTCCACTTTACTCATTATTCCAATCAAGTTAAGCATAGGGTTGACATAGATGCCTTCGTCTAATTTGCTATGTACCGTCAGATGCATATCGCTTACTGCAAAAAAGTGGGTCAACAGACTATACATGCTTAGATGCCTAACAATGACTTACTGTATTAATGATTTTTTCTTACGCAAAAGTGCAGCTGAATTATATTTGAAATGATGGACAAATACATTCGTCCCGTAACAAAGAAAAATTGAGAAAATATATTGAGAAATCATCTCATGGTTGTTTGTTTTGTTAGTATGTATGTATGTATGTATGTATGTATGTATGTATGTATGTATGTATGTATGTATGTATGTATGTATGTATGTATGTATGTATGTATGTATGTATGTATGTATGTGTGTGTGTGTGTGTGTGTGTGTGTGTGTGTGTGTATGCAGGTAGGAAGGTGTGTGTGTATATATGTAGGTAGGAAGGTGTGTGTGTGTATGTATGTAGGTAGGAAGGTGTGTGTGTGTATGTATGCAGGTAGGTAGGTGTGTGTGACTGTGTGCATGCGTGTCCTTGAGTACGTGACACATATAAACAATAGGTTTAGTTGCAAACCGGTTGCATCGGTCTGTTGATCATGAGATCTTCCTACCAACAGCAACTGACCATTCAAAACGCTTACCTTTACGTCCGTGCTCCGTGAGCAGAACTACCACGCTCTGGCGAGTGATAATAGGAGGTGGACCACTGTGAATTGAGAGATGCCCATGTAGCTTTATTTATCTACAGCTATAGGTTGCCCCACTGAACTTTCCTTTCACTTCCTCTCGTTAAACCAAGCTATGAGAATATGTATAGGGAACCGCACATAATAGAAGTTTTTGAAAGGCATTTAGAAGTTGGATGAACATGAATACATGACACATTTTTATGGATAACAACTTCTTTTTTATTCTTTACACGACGTTTCAGTCGTGACTGCGCATTCCTGCAATAACTGCGCATGGTCCACAGTTTTTAATTTGCAATATTTGTACCCCGAGTCGAGAAGGAATATAGGCGAAGATTCCAAACACAGCAGGTCCAGCCGACTTGTTTAACAGACAACAGTCAATATCTATCTCTGCAAAGTTTGCCTCTCCACGATCAAAGGGACTGTAACTGTAATCGGAGCTCAATATCGCGGGACGCACATAACATGTCCGAGGTTAAAAGCTTATCTATGCAAGGTTTGACCCATAGTCCAACCCTCCACGTTGTACGGGACTGGAGTCCCCTCATTTGTGGTCGCTATAGCTTGAGACGTACATAGCGTGTCACAGGTGCTCGTACATGACAATGCGATAAGACTGCAGATTACAAGTCCTCTGGTATACGTAATAGAGTATTCCAGATTACAAGCCAAGATGCATGCGCTCATAACCATTCTAAAGGCTTACCTGTATATCTTGACCCGTCACCTGAGCTGTCACGTTCTGCACAGGGACGCTACAATCCGGGTATTTCATATACGTCATCTACATGCTCCTGTCCGAGACAGCAGGATATGTAAACAAGCTCCTGTCGGCCATTGATTCACCCAAGTGGTGAACGTTTGAGACCTCCATCGCTCTGGGTGTTTTCAATTGAAATAGTCCGATTTCACCGTGTACACTTTCAGTGTGTAGGTTGAAATAAATGTCACTGACCATAAACGACTGAAGCACCGACTCCATGTTTTGTCATATATATATTTCCCTAGGTAAATTGTTTAGAGTAACTTTTGTTTGATGTTTCATAACTGATCCATTATTTGGATACTATGTCCTTTTGAAAAGGTACTTATTTTACCAGACCTCATTAACACAATCCTTGTGTTCTGTCACTGGAGGGTAATACATATTAAGGCTGTTTAGTGCAGTCCGAATCATTCCACTAATGATTTATTTATTGTATGAAATCGTATTTTTATCAACAGCTTTAGGTTGCCCCACTAAACCTTCCGTTCTCTTCCTCTCGTTAAACAATGCATTGAGAATATCTATCGTGAACCATTTAAATGTCACATTCAATATATTTTTGCCTGAGCCTTTTTGTATACCTAGAGTATTCATACTACAACTACACAGACGATTGGTTGCATGCAGTGTTTGTACCCCGGGAAGACAAACTATCGTCCCTCTCATCGACTTACTTTAGAGAAGCACAAGTCGTAAGATGAAAGAGCTTAGAAAACTGAACCCAGTGATGCCAAGTTTACCTCTCCACGATGCCCAGGACTGTAACTTGAGCTCGCTATAAAGTGGGACGCACATAACATATCACAGGTGCTCGTGCATGAGGCTGTAAATTACAAATGCTCCGGTGCGATAGAACTTTCCAGCTAACAAGTCTACAAGTACCCTTACATTTAAACCGGCATAACGCTTGACCCATGAACGGCAACGCGTGTGAGAGTAATAACATCTGCATTCCCCACATAGCACCCTACATTTCAGACACTCCAGTTTCAGACAGTTTCAACACACAGACATGATTCAGTCTTTGTCTTGTTTGAACAAAGGAATAGCCAATTGGATATCAGTTTTCATTACATTCAATGTCATTCATCCTTCTAACCTGACATGTCCCAGCCTGGAAACACCATCAATCTATTGCATATATGCATAGTACTATCACATTATTAGCCTACTATTATATTCTCTTATCTTCCTTCATGAAGCAAGATACTATGCAGATACTATACAGGCGTCTTGTGCGCCTGGGTTAGCAGTGCCTTGAGTCGATAAAGGCGAAAGTCAACTTCCAGGTACACCTTCCTCCTTTAGCGGGTGCAGGTGCCCTGGGTTAGCATTACCTTGAGTCAGTAAAGAGGAAACTAAAATTCCGGGTATACCTTCATCCTTTTGGCAGGTGCTGGACCAAAGTCCAACTGGATCATCTCCTGTTTGTTAGCTTCCTTGATACTTGTCATGACATAAATGAGTATGTAGAAATTGGGATGGTGGGGAGAGACTGGAATCGCTATCATTTGCAAATGATCATATTTTCCTAACCATCAGTGAAAAGAGGGAGCCGTTCTCAATCCAAGGTTTCCATCCTGGTACCGGAAGGTTAACGTTTTGTGGAAGTCTAGGATGGCGTGTTGTCTTCAAGCTGTCTCAGGAGCTTATGCTGATAGAGAACTGGCAATGGGGTTGATCGGAAATATTTCTTGGCGCATGGTTATATTCACTAAAGTTGCGGATAGATTCGCGGACTGTAATACATCTCACGATACATCTCCAGTGAATACAAGATTTTCTTGTGGCATTCTTGTTGTAGGAAAAGACTTGAGTTGTACCCTTCTGTGGCGTAAAATATTTCACTCTCTGTAAGTCTGCCATGACAGTGGCATACATATAACAAAATGCCTCCTATATATACTCTGGTGCATACTTTACTAAACATAAGCGAACAGAAGGCCACGACACAATTAGAGTTTGTGTAAGTTCTTAATACAGCGTGACAAGAGGATTAATTAGTGTATTGGAGTATGGGACCTTCATTGGACTGCTGATAACCATGCCGGTTTAGACAGTGTTAATTACAGTTAAAATTGCTTGTTGGGACCGGAAAGTCGTGCCGGAATACGGAATAGACAGGTACCGGATTGGACAATGTCTTAATGATCATAATATCGTTGTTAAATGGCGGGTCCAAAATTTTATGCCGGTTTTGGCAGTGTGCCGGATTAGACAGGTGCCGGTATTGGCAGGTATCACTGCATACACTAAACGCCAAAGGAACCGTTACTCTCCTTCGTTAATGACGGAAGTACCTATCTTCACCTGGCGTTGTGATGCGTGGACGTCCACTTCTTGGTCTGTCTACGGTGACTCCAGTCTGTCAGACTGGTGACTCCCGTCTGTCTGTAGCGCTGAATAAGTCTTATAACCGTGATACACTGGCATCCGAGGGCGTTGGCAACAGCATTGTATGTCGACCCCATTTGCACCATCCCAATGACTCTTTCTCTCTCTTCAG